GGGTGTGAGGGATGAGGTGCGGGAGATGTGGGAGACACGGTTGAGGGCGTTCTCGACCACCGAGGAGGGGAAGTTACGGTCCTTGAAAAACGAGGACAACTGAGATGTACGGGAGTGGAATGCCTCATCCTGGGAGCAGATGCGGCGGAGGCGAAGGAATTGGGAATAGGGGATAGCATTTTTGCAGGAAGGTGCCATATGGCCAAATATTATCTAAAACCCTGTTCTTTCCCAATAAAATTTCTGATTCTTTCTTTAATCGCTCTACCAATTGCAACGTTAAGTCTTGGGTGCAATCCTTATCTAAATTACTGCTGGCTACCAGACTAGGACCAGGTACAACCCAGGTAGTTCAACTTGGTCAGGCTGTGGAGTCAGCTCTGATAAACTCAGCAAAGGATGGTTTTGCACATGCTCGTTTCCTGTCCGTCTCTCTCCAAGTGTTTGGAGTTCTGCTGCCGGGCCAGGTCAAGTCTTCACTGAGGGAATAGCCCTCAGCCAATTATTCTTGCAGATCAAGGTTATGGCATCCAATGGAATTCCTGATGTCATGTATGAAAGATGCTGAGGCTACCCTGGTTTTCCAGCCTCGGATGTGTCAAGGGCATTCCCCCCTCTCCAGATATGGTCATGGTGGGAATTCAGGGCATCAGTGAGTTTGTTCACCGTGTTCCAATACATGGCCTCATTTCCCAGGGCAAGTCTGGGCTTGTCCTTCCCTGCCTTTGTCTTGTGCACGTGCTTTGTGCTTGACCTGTCCTGAAAGTTCCATCAGGCCTAACTACTGAAAGGCTGCCCATTCTGGATGTGGGTCTATCCATTTAGGCTCCAGGCTAACTGGTCACAGTCCTGGATAATAATCTTTGACAACTCTGGTGGTAGCTCATCTTCAGCAGTTGCTGGTTACAATGGGCCTTGGCCTTAGTATACAGATCAACCTTAAGAATGTCTTCAATTTCATTGTCTGGGGGCATCCAGAAATTTTTCTGTGGGCTGGATAATCTGCCCAGTATGTCAGACATAAGCATCCTTGTACCTGGCTTATATCTCACATCAAAGTCGTATCTTTCCAGATCATTAACTGTTGGCTCATATATTGTGATTTAACTGTCATAATTATACTGAGACCTGTACAATACTGGTAGTACTGCCACTGCTGGGTGATTGGTAACAGCTAGTTAAAAGACTTCAAGAAATAAAGCCATGTTTATGTATTGGCATTGCTGTGTGACTCTGCCAGTGCATGGAATTGGTTATTCACTACACATTGTGAAACAGTTTCTCATAGGCTGGACCATGGAACACCAATTGCTGTGTTTCAGGTTGTGTTCTGGTACTATGTTGGCTCTAGCTCCCATGTTGATTTTAGCTTTTAGTGCTTATTGTTCTGCCTTTCCATGACTTATGGTTGCAACGTTAGTTTCTATCTTTTACTGGGTTTCCTTCTCTCTTGCTCCTTTTTTATCCCCTTTTTTGCTTCAATTTTTCTTTATTTTTTCCTGTTGCAGCTCATTTAAAAATTGATGGCTTGTAACTGAACAAACCAATTCCCAACCTGATGGTATTTCGGATCATATCCCAAGATATGGTGGGATCCAGCATGCAAACTTTTTTCCTTCACCTCCTTGCTGCAACTGTCTCATCATTAAGGCATTATGACTGAAAGCAGAACACATTGAGAGTCATGGAAACAGGATCTGGTGGGGGGCAATGCTTTTGTCCACCCAGACAGAATGTCCAGTCTATTGTAGTTGACATTGCTGGAGTGTTGACTGAATACTTGTGGAATACCAGTGCTAATAGAATCTTTCAATGCCAGAAAGAACACAAATCTGAGTGTGATCTAATTCTGTCAGGGCTGTTTCCTCAATGGCTTGTGGTCAATGTAGTAATATGAGATTGACACTCTTGTACATGAACATTAAAAAGTTTTACCGAACATAACTACTCTCATTAGACAGTAAGAGAAGGCACCTTGTCTGGTGACTACAGATCCAGATTCCAGTTCCATGTAAATTGAGGCCACCATTACATTGATGCAACTCCTTTTGCACATGCTCAGTAGCTACATCTGAATAAAGGTGTCAATCCTTCTGTCTACAGTAGAATTGATGGCAGCACGGTGGCTCAGTGGTTAGCACTGCTGCCTTACAGCTCCAGGGTTCAATTCCAACCTTAGGCAACTGTCTGTGTGGAATTTGCATATTCTCCCTGTGTCTACGTGCATTTCCTCCCACAGTCCAAAAATGTGCAGACTTAATGGATTGGCCATGCAAAATTGCCCCATAATGAACACACCGATCCTCTGAAATGGGGAATGATGTGCAGGTTAGGTGCATTAGCAGGATTACAGGGATAGGCTAGGGGGATGGGTCAGGGAGGGATGCTCATCAGAGGATTGGTGTGGATTTGTTGGACTGAATGGCCTGTTTCCACACAGTAGGGATTCTATTTAAAAAAAACCTCAGCAGCAATGGCAGAGTTGCAATAACCAGAAATGGTAAATCCTATGGCTCAGATGGTCTTCTAGCTGAACTCTTCAAAGCTGGTGGGCATATGCTCACATCAAGAATCTGGGAGGAAAAGGAACTCCCCAGTATAGTTATGTCTCTATTGTAACTATCTTCAAAAACTGCCATAAATCATACTGTGGAAGCTGCATTTCTGTCTTGTTCACAGCAGGGTCAATGCTGATCCTCCTTCCTATGGCAGAGGAAGGCTTTTGACCTTCCAGAAGAACGCCTGACTGGATTCATGACAGAATTCCCAAGCTGCATCTATGTGACGACACCTGTGATAACAAGGGCCATGTCATACAGCATACATTGCAGTATAAATGAGTCATTGGTGCTCATCCTCCAACCTCTGCTTACCTCTGACAATGACTGCTTTAGATCCTGCAAACCTGCCCCACACGCGGTGTCCAAATCATTGTTGCCAGCACCTTGTTCATCCCTCCGGCCCCAACTTCTCTTCAGCATATCCCTTTTCCCTCCTCCTGCAGTTGGACAGTCACTGCAGAGATATATATATAAATCTACAGCCAGTAGGGAAATGAAAAAATGCTGGAAAAATTCCTGCCTTAGGTGAATGAAACCCAATCAGAAGATCACATTCGCCCAGGTTTATCAAAAGCTAGTCCAGCTCTCTCTTGAAAATATACAGAGGATTGACCTTACCAGTGGCAACACGACTGTCTAACAAATGACTCATCTCCCAATGGTAAGATAATTCCCACTGCTTGGTGATTTGAATGTATATGTCTTCCTCAATATGATATATCAATAGGGAAGCTGTCCTTCGCTGACGAACTCAACTCTATGTCTATGCTGCTGAGAAAGCAATAGGCTGAGGTCTTTGAGCCTTGCTGACTAGATGGTTTTCTTTAAGCTGGAAGTTCTGCTCTCCTTGAGGCCTTTTTCAAGACCAATATATCACCCAGGGTGTAGGGATCTAATACTGGGCAGATGTGACCTGACCCAGTGACCTCTTCAGTCTCCAAATGTGGTCTGTTAAATTATGCTGAATGATTCTATTCAGGCAAGCCAGGTCCCTATTAGCTTCAGCATTCTCCACATTAGTCATGAACTTTCAGTGATCTGAGCGCACAGAAATGTGAATCATTTGTTTTCTTTCTCCAATCCTTTCACTGTTATTCCCTTTTAGGATCTATCAACATGCATTACATTTATCAGGATAAAACCTTTGTACTGCACTGTCCTGGCACTGTTTTTGATTTGATTGCATTGTTAAAAAAGTAAATTTGATGTTATCACCTCTATTCCTGCAATCTATTTTGTTTTCCAGTTGACAAAGGACTATTTTGAAGATGATCTGGTAAATTACTATACTGGAGACAATCAGACCAATAGTTACACAGCCATTTCCAATTCCATCATGATCTCAGTAAGTTCATCTCATTGAATCTCTCCTCACCAATGCAGTGGGTATGTCTCTTTGAACTTAAATATTGTCTACCTACAAGAGGGAATTGAATGACAGATTAAAGATATTTTTAAAAAGGTCCAATTCATTTTCTGTTTTGCATTCTTTTCCCAAGTCCTAGCTCCACAAGTTGGCCAAATGTTTCTTTCTCAGTTCTTCCCCAAGCCTGTTTTTATAATTTTGTTTATCCCAGTAAAGGATGTGCCCCAATATGAATGAAAGATGCTGCCCTTACAGTGAATTTGAGCCTTGCTCCAAGCTTGATGTCCAAACCCAGTGGCAGAGCTTCAGGTTTTGCATACATAGGGCTTTGTATTTGTACGAACATATGGAATAGGAGCAGATGTAGGGCCCCATGTCTGCTCCATCTCTCAATAAGATTAAGGGTGATGTGTTTATGCTTTGAATTCCACATTCCAATCCTGATTATCCTTGATTCCCTGTCTAACAAGAATCAATCCATATCTGTCTTGAAAACAATCAGTGATCCCACCTCTACCAATCTCTCCAGAAGAGAGTTCCAAACCCTCTGACAGGAAAAGAAATTCTCCATATCTCTGTCTTAAATGGGCGGCCCCATGATTTTAAGACAATGCCCGATAATTCTGGACTGACGCAGAAGAGGAAACTTCCTTTTTCTCATCCACTTTGTCACGACCGTCTTATACACTTCAATCAAATCAGCCCTCACTCTTCTAAACAGCAACAGAAAGGATTCTAATCTGTCCAACCCATCTTCATGAGATATTCTGCTCATTCATATATTCCACCTTTGAAATTACAATCTATTTAATCAAAAGTCTGCTTTTCCACTCTACCCCCCAAAAATGAACAACTCCACATTTTCTCACATTATCTTCCAGATTTTTGCCCCCCTCGCAACCTATATATGTATATATTTATCTATTTGCAAATTCCTTATGTCTTGTTCACAACATATGTTCCTATCTATCTTTGTGTCACCTGCAAATTTAGCTATCTTACTTTCACTCCCCTCATCTAAGTCATTGATGTGAATTTTAAATATTTGAGTCTAAGCATAGACCTATATAGGACTCTACTTGTTTAATCCTGCCAATCAAAGACATATTTCTGCATACTCTCTGTTTTCTACTAACCAGCCAAACTTCTTTCTGTGCTAATATGTTACAATGAGCAATCTCCTTTCATATGGCATCTTATTAAATGCTTTCTGAAAATCCAAGTACAATATGACTACAGGTTCTCCTTTATCCACAACCCATGTTACTCCATCAAATAATTCCAATAAATTGGTTAGACTTGATATTCCTTTCTTGAAAACATGTTGATCTTTCCTGGTTATCTTGAGTTTTTCTAACTGACCAGCTATTAACTCTTTGATGACATTACTGCAGCCCACAAGATGTCTGTAAAACTAACCCTTTAGATATTTCCTAATCAACCCATTCAGACTTGTTACGACACATCTCTGGAGCAGGTGGGACTTGAACCCAGGACTCTTGTTCCAGAAATAGGGACATTATCACTGCACTGTCAAAGCCCTTCAGCCCTGTCCCTCATATCTTATGTGGGATATGGAATACATGTGCGAATTAGTACTGTAGGCTAAGTCTATAATAATCTCTAAAGAGGTAATGGGTTAATATTTAACATGCAAATATTCACAGGCCCACAAGGAAAGCACAGTTAAATGACACTTAATGAATAGCTCTTTCACAGAATTTGCTTTGACACAATTGACCAAATCCCTTTTTTCAATGCAACAACACTGTCCAAGCTATAGCAATTTGTGTGAAAATACTTGCAATTAGAATATAGAACAGTACAGCACAGGAACAGGTCCTTCTGCCCACAGTGTTGTGCTAAACATGACGTCAAATTAAACTAAGCCCTTCTGCCTGCCCAAGGTCCTCATTCCTCCATTCCTTACATATTCATGTGCTTATTTAAAAGTCCCTTAAATGCCCTTATCATATCTGCCTCCACCACCACCCCTGTCAGTGCATACCAGGGACGTACTACTGTCTGTGTAAAGAACTTAACCCTCACATTTCCTTTGAACTTTCCCCTCTCACCTTAAATGCAAGCCCTCTAGTATTAGACATTTCAACTCTGGGAAAAGGATTCTAACCGTCAACTCTATCTATGCATCTCATAACTTTAGAGGCCTCTATCAAGTCTCCCCTCAGTCTCCACTGCTCCAGAGAAAGCATCTCTAGTTTCTCCAAACTCTCCCTCTAGTTCATACCCTCTAATCCAGGCAGCATCCTGGTAAACCTCTTCTGCACGCTCTCCAAAGCCTCCACATCCTTTCTGTAATGCGGCAACCAGAATTGAATGCGATTCTCTAAGTGTGGCCTTACTAAAGTTTTATGAAACTGCAACATGATGTCCTGACTCTTGTACTTAATTCCCCAACCAATAAAGACAAGCATGCCATATGTCTTCTTTACCACCCTATCTATTTGTGTGGCCATTTTCAGGGAGCTATGGACTTGAAATCCCTCAATGTTGTTCAGTGTCCTGCATAAACTGTATACTTTTCTTTAACATTTGCTCGTTCTAAGAAATGGTGGGTGGCTTCTGTTCAAACAGCAAGAATGATTTTTATCCATTCATGGAATAAGCAGACTGGGCCTTGTTATAATCTGTGACAATATAGTTTTTCTGTAATCCTATGTTGAAATACAAGCCCACCTTACACAAGGCTTGAAGCATCTACCTCAGACAGGATAGTGATACTGAGTCAAGCTGTCACATAGCAAACAGGCCAAGGGATAAATCAAATTAACTTATTTCAATATCATTTTATGTGGGACATTTGCTGATTTGCATTTCCTGGGCCCTAAAGTCAATATATTTAGGTAAGAGAAACATTTCTAACCCTAATCCTGAAAGGAAGCTGTGAATGATCCTATAATTGAAATGTTATCTCCTGGACACTGCTGTTAGCAATTTGGAAAGAATAATCAGGGCAATTTAACAGACTTTCGGGTTTTGATTCATTTAAGTTTGCATAAAAATATTGGAAATGGGAGAGAAAAATCTCTGAGCAACCATCAGTTGGAAGTGGAAGCTGAGTCAATAAAAGCTTCAGTGAAACCTTCGAGCTGAGGTGACAATATCTCATCATTATCAAACCTCCAGCGGATGGTGTACATTGAAAAATAACCACTGATTCAACTTGTTCCTTTGTCACTTAGTTTGAATGCTGTGGCGTGAATGGTCCGAAGGATTTCTTACACACCTTAGAGTTTGTCATTCTGAACCCTTTCCGTGAGGTGCCAGAGGCTTGTTGCAAGAGGAACAAATTTACAGCTGACAGAGCAATCATCAATGCAGAGGAATGCTTCTCTGGAACCGTTGATTTCATCAATAATAAGGTACAGAAAAGCAGCTTCAGGTCTAGACCAATTCAGATGAGGACATGATAGAGATTTCAGGGTATTCTCTCATGAGCAGTGATATCCAGAAAACGTGCCAAAATGCAAACATCTAATGAAATGAGGGTAGCACAACAGTTAAAACCCACTTGTGATCCATGTATTTCACACATCTATCCCTGACATTTCCAAAGGTGGATTGAAATATTCAGTAGAACAAAATCAGGTACATGTGGGTCAGCTGCTTTATTTCATACACAGCAAATGTACATATAAAGTAACAACCAATTCTTACCATCATTCAACTAACTATGGGACAAGCCTCAAGGGCAAAACAATAATAAATAATAACACTATCTGTTGTCCAGTTCACTTCGTATTTGCTGGGCAGCTGTCTGTTTCTGAGCAGTGAGTGGGTTTGGTCTCTCTGGATCGGGTTAGCAATGCGGCCTCACAGAATTCCCTTTACTGTTTTCTCTCTGTCTTCCCAGAAATTGGATGGCCAGCTTTCTAACTTCCTCCTCCTTCAGTGATTCTCCAGTTGGTCCAATCAATAATATTAGACACCTTTCCTTCTCTCTTAGGATGCGGTTTGAAGAAACTGCCTTCTGCTCAGAAATGTACAGCAGACACTTTGGGTTAATGGATCTGGGATGAGTTGATTGATTCACATTGTCTCAGTTGGAAATAGACAATGATATTATTCAGGCCGGTTTGTCTGCCTCTAATGCACATTTGTCTCATTAACAAAGAAGCCTTCTGTATCAATAGCTCCAGCCTGCGGCATTTTCTTAAAAATTGTATGAAGTCTCTTTGTCTTAAAACCACAACTTAAATATCCCTAAATCCTTTCATTGAAGAAGGAAAAAAAGCAAGATCACCTGTATGCTGGTGTGTGGCAGGTTTGGAGTGACTGAGGAGAGGAGGTAAATGTTGACATTGGCTCTTAGTTGATAGCTCATGTGGTAGAATGGGAGCTCAACGCTGGGGGCTCCAGGGAAGAAAGTGAATAGAGCTTTTTTTATTCATTCACAGGATGAGGGCTCCACTGGCTAAGCCAGCATTTATTGCCCATCCCAAGGGTAATTAAGAGTGACATTATTGTGGGTCTGGAGTCACATGTAGGTCAGACCAGTTAACGATGGCAGTTACCTTCCCTAATGGACATTAATGAACAAGATGGCTCTTTCTGTCAATTGACATCATTAGACTCTTAATTCCAGATTTCTTTAAAAATGAATTCGAATACCAGCATGGTAGGATTCAAACCCAGGCCTCCAGAACTTTACTTGGGTCTCTAGGTTGACAGTCCAGCAATAATACCACTAGGCCATCACCTCCTTTAGGGTGGGGCCTCACAGCCAAATCAGGAGCCCGGGCTCTCACTGGGGAAATGTCTGGGCCACAGCGGTTTCTTGACTGCAATGACAATCTGGTTTGACACCACAAATACTGTGGCTTAGAGATCTCCTCTGTCTGATGGGTCTGTGGTGGGTGAGGGGTGTGTGCAGGAAGCTTCAGAACATGGCTGGCCCTGGTGGAAGAGCTGTGCAAACATAGATTGTCCTTCACACAAAGAAGCAATTAATAAGGCCTCATGGATCGAATGACATTCCCTTGACTCACTGTAGATGCTCCTTGGTGGATTTGTGATTATACGCTCCATCTCACCGGGAATGTAGGTGACAATGTCTGTTGTCTCAGTTCCTGTCGCTCTGGGTATTTTCAGTCAGCCACTCTGTGCCATCATGTCTGAGGGCTGAAGTTAACAGGTGACAGAGATCCTTTACTACAAAGCATCAAACTTCATCAAATTCCTTTGCACAGCCAAAAGACAAACCCATGTATTTTTTTTCCACAGAATTGCTGTCTTCCCCAATAGAAGGTGTCTGTCTATGGACTGTGTGTTTCAGGAAGCTCAGCTTCAGTATCCTGTCCCCCCCATTTATCAATCCAATGTTAAGAATGACCCAGTCTCCTCTGCTCTCTGGGGAAGAGAATTCTAAATATTAGTGGCAGCAATTGGACAGTTAACCAGTGCCCTGGTTTGTAAATAGTAGTAGGTATTTCAAGCCCACCAATGTGATCCTAGAACCTAGATATTTTCAAAATGTCTGGGGCCCAAATGCAATTTGGTTCAAGTTTTTCTAGATCCTTTTGACTCTCCCACCATTCTCTTCTAAACCTCCTCACTCGCATTCAATGTCCACTGAAATAACTCTATTGAGGCCAGTATCCTGTTACCAAGTCACCCTTTATTTACACATGAACAGTCCTTGACTTTAGTACTGCATCATTCAGAGTCAATTACCGCAGTGGCAGTATCTCTGACACTTCTGTTTATATCTGTTAGCCAGGGCTCCCTGATTGGACCGGATTCACAGGCATAATCAGGGAACTCGTATTCTGTGAGATCCACTTGGCTGACCTCATTTTGGTCACTACACCCACTCCTAATCCTTCACACTGTAAGCTGCCCTGAGACATCCCTCTGTAACGATTATTATAAAAATCTAAGCAGTTCTTCAGCAGTTTCTTTTTTTGTGGAAGCGTTTATTCATTCAGCCTTTGACAAACATTTATTGTCATGACTTTTCTAGTTTTTATCTACCTTTAGAAACCTTTAGTTTCTATTTTTATATTTTTTGCTGATTTTCTCTCACAGTCTAATGCATCCCTTTTTTTACTTTAAACATCCGATGCTAGCTTATTGATTTTTTACGATCTTTTAGTCTACCACTAATCTTCAGCATTATACATCTTTTCCTTCAATTTGACATGATCCTTAACATTCTTAGTGATCAACATTTGGTGCATCAGTCTTAGAGCCTTCCTTTCTCAGTGAAATATATATTTGTTGAGAACTTTGAAATATCTCCTTAAATGTCCACAACTGCACCTCTAGTTCCTACTTTTTAGCTTATTTTGGCATTTCACTATGGCACATTTCTGTCTCCATACCCTTGTAATTTCCTTTATCTGACTTTAAAACAATAATTTCAGACTCACATATTTCACTGTCAACCTGAATGTAGAATTCTATTGAATTGTGATCATTGTTGCCTCGATGATCCTTTAATCAACAAACTAAATATGCTAATTGTTAACTATACTTCCTAGCCCGACTGAGGATCCCATAAATAAAATGGGGAAACATTCATGATGAAGATAGCAAAGAGTATGTTTTATTGTCTTTTTGGCTGGAACTAATATTTTAAAATTCTTTTGTGATGTTTCAGAAGAGGCAGATCACTTTTCTGCCAGTGCCATTCCTCAATCTCAGTTACAGATCTTGATTTTAATTCCCACAATGCCATGTGGCTAGTGTGGATGGTGAGTTGAGGAGTACATCTCTGATTTGTCACTCACTATGCTGGAAGTGAATTGACTAATTCAAACACAGTGTCTTCTCTCTCTTGCTGAAGAAGATACAGTTGGGTTGGGTGGGGATGGGCGGGAAGAGTATCCACGTTCAGGTCAAAGGCAGAGAATGAGGGCAAGGACACAACTGGAACCTCTGCTGCTCGGAGGAATGCCTGCAGCAATGGATGCACTGATACCAGCTTGTGAGGGGTTACTTAGTAAGTCTAAATACAGCACTGGTAACATGAGGACATGGGAATAAGGGAAGAGGGGAAGTCTGTTCTTCTATGGGGTAGAATGTGAAACTGATAGAGGGAAGAGGTAACTACCATACTAGGTTCAGCAGAGGATTCACATTCTCCAAATCTCTTTGAGAGAATATCCCAGGGCCATCTCAGTCCTGTGGAAGCTGAGGAGATGTTGGAGGTGATGAGCACTGGGAGGAGTTAGCAACTCAGGAAACATCTAATAGGTGCAGAACATTCATTGAGGTTACAGGAGACTTTCGTGGCAGAAAAAGTCCAGGATCAGTTTCAGAGAAGTAGCTGTGGAAATTAAGGCTGGACTTCTGTGCGATTTCCTGGCAAAAGTTGTTTGTTAATCTGACAATGATTGATCACTTCTGTGAGCACTATTATCATTTGACAGCAGAAAGGGAAATGGAAACTTTTAACGTTGAGTAACTTGGCTAAATTGTTTTGGATAATCAGAGTCTCTGTGAAGGGAAGCACTGAGCTAACAGTTCCAATGGTAGCATACTGCCCTGTTCCATCTCTTCTCGTTCCTCCTCATACAGGATGGCTTCAGCTGTATCCTCCATCTCTTCAACATAATTATCCCTTCCAGCAGCTGTGTTACTATCTTGGGACAGTGTTAGGAATTACACCAAACTACCCTGGACACACCCCTTGGTCTTTATAAATGTGAGGTGATGCATTTGGGCAAGATAAACAAGACTAGGGAATACATGATGGACAGTAGGACCCTGGGAAGCACCGAGGACCAGAGGGACTTTGATATGTATGTACACCAGTCCCTGATGGTATCAGGACAGGTGGATAAAGTGGTTAAGAAGGCATATACTTGCCTTTATTAGTTGAGCCTTAGGAGCTTAAGACCAGGAAGGTGACACTGGAATTGTATACAATGCTGCAGCTAGAGTATTATATGCAGTTCTGGAACCCACATTGTAGGAGGGATGTGATAGCACTGGAGATGGTGCAGAGGAGATTTACCAGGATGTTAGCTGGGCTGGAGAGTTTCAGTCATGAAGAGAGATGTATAAAATGATGGGGTAGATAGGAAAGAATTTTACTCCTTGATGGAGGGATCATTGATGGAGGGGGCATAGATTTAAGGTTAGGGACAGAAGGTTTCGAGAAGATGAGAAGAAAAAGTTTTCACCCAGAGGGTGTTGGGAATTTGAAATTTACTGCCTGTAAGGGTGGTAGAGGCAGAAGCCCTCATGACGTTGAAGAAGGATTTAGATGTACACTTACAACGCCAAGGCTATAGGCCAAGTGCTGGAAAATGAGATGAGAATAGCTAGGTGGTTGTTTTTGACTGGTGCAGACTCAATGGGCTGAAAGGCCTCGTTCTGAGCCATAGAACTCTATGACTCTATCTCCATCCAGGTATTTATATCAGGATTTCATAGCGTCTATAGTCAGATGCTGATGGTTTCAGATGTGGTACACAGGAATTCCTAATTGCTCTCAGTACTCATGAAATAGCAGCCAGCCTACAACTCGAGGTCATTATTTCCCTTTGCTCCTCCCATTCCATTGTGTATGCAACAAATGGTGACAACTTCTTGAAGACAACATCTGGATGGAGCCGTGGCCTGTTGCCCAGGCAATGGTAGCACAAGTTAATTGATGCTGCCTGGAATGGTGTCCATGGAACCATGACAAAGGCTATGGTGACCAGACTGGTGCAGGCAACATTCTTTTTCTGGTGAAAATGAGCTTCAGGCATTCAATTGGCAATTAATATCTTTCGGCAATAACTTCTGGGAAGAAATATAGTCTTCTGAACCACAGAAACACGGAAAGGCCTGAATATATCCAACATGATTTGTAAATCCCATCCACTGAGTGGGAAGAAATACCTTCAATATTGTCTAAAGTCTCTGAATTAGCCTCTTTTTCTTTCCAAAATCGAAAGTAATGATATTCCAATGGGATATTCCATTTCTAATACTTTGAGCAGATCAGAATGAAGATTGTAAATGACCTGACTAAGAGTAATTAACCTACTTTGTTTGCAAGCAAAAAAAACTAATGCTGAGTGTGAACCTTCATAAGTTTTCTAATTCCAGAAATCCACTAGTATTACATTCCCAGGGAGTTTATTATTTAAGAAGGTTTATTGCTGGCTACATCTTTTATACAAGGTGGGGCTTATGACTGGCAGATCTTAAAGGGTGGCAGTGTTTTTTTAAAAGGGCAGGTGAGGTACTGCATTTTGGTAAAATAAACAAGGTCAGGACTTACACAGTTAATGGTAGGCCCCTGAGTGGTGTTGTTGAACAGATAGACCTAAGGGTTCAGGTACATAGTTCTTTGGAAGTTGCATCACATGTAGACAAGGTGATTAACAAGGTGTTTAATACACTTACCGTCATCACTCACATCATTGAATATAGGAGTTGGGACGTCATGTTGAGGTTATACAGGAGGTTGGTGAGACCTAAACTACAATACTGTGTCCAGTTCTGATCTCCCTGTTATAGGAAAGATATTATTAAATTGGAGAGAGTTCAGAAGAGATTTACCAGGATGTTGCCAGGACTGGAAAGTTTGGGTTGTAGGGAGAGGCTGGATAAGCTGGATAAGGTTTTTTTCACTGAGCGTAGGAGGGTGAGGGGTGAGCTTATAGAGGTTTATAAAATCATGAGGGGCATAGATAAGGTGAATAGCAAAGGCCTTTTCCCTAAGGTAGGCTAGTTCAAAACTAGGGAACATATTTTTAAGGTGAAATGGGAAAGATTTAAAAGGGACCTGAGGGACAACGTTTTCACACGGAGGGTGGTTTGTATGTGGAATGAACTGCCTGAGGAAGTGATCAATGCAGGTACAGTTGCAGCATTTAAAATACACTTGGACAGGTACATGAATAGGAAAGGTTTAGGGGATATGGGCCAAATGAAGGCAAGTGGGACTAGTTTAGTTTGGCAAACTTGGTCGGCATGGACGAGGTGGACCGAAGGGTCTGTTTCTATGCTATATGAGTCTATGACTGGTGGGGATTTCTTCTGGTGGATTTGATGTATAAGTCTTAAAGGATAAACTCCAGTCCTTTTGACACACTGAACCTGTCCCAAAATTGCAGTGGAGAATCCTCCTGTCTCTCCAGCTACTAGATGTTCAAATGAATAGAATTTAGGTGGAATGAGTAATCATTTGAAATAGTTACACATACACACACTAAAAAAACACATTTTCTGTCTGTTTCTATCTCACACAGGGCTGCTTCGATCCCATTTCAGAGCAGGTGGAATATTATCTTTATGGGCTTGGAGCGCTAAATATTTGGATCTTAATAATTGAGGTAATCCTTTAATTGACTTATCCACAACAATATTCTGTGAAACATATGGAGACTGAAGATGCGTAAATGCATCAAAAATGACTGACCATCTCAATATTTTCCCTTCTCCTTGCTGCCTGTAAACAGCGTACAAACAATTTATTCTCAAGCCCAGTCTGATTTCCTTAGCTTTGTTGTGGCCTGAGGCTTCCCTTGTCCTGAGATTTTTTTGCCAAGTCCGACATTACATAACGTTCTCCTGTAGCTTCCTTAGTTCTGTAGTAAGTGTGACTCGCCTCATCATATGATCAACTTGTTCTTATGATTGTACAGTGTCCACTGCCAGTCACAACTCTTCAGATACTGAAGCAATACAGGCCCATGATCAGCATGATCGATAATTCAGTTCCTGCAATATATCTTGTAAATAGTACACACTGCTGTCACTGTGTTGGTGGTGAAGGGTGTGAACATTGAAGGTGGTGGATGGTTGAAGCCATTCAAGGTGAATCCATCCAAACTGAATGGCAATCTGACACCATCCCTACTGGATATGTCCTGCTTTGATGCCAGGGAGTGGAGATGGTGATCCAAGAGCATGGTTTGTAAGGTATGTTTGTGTAATGATGTCAGACTGTTTCTTGACAAGTCTGTGGGACAGCTCTCTCAATTTTGACACAAACTGCATCAAATTAAGTCAAAATGTTATTAAGGAGCACATTATAAGGGCAACAGAGCCGGGATAGTCATTGTCCTTCCTGGTGGCAGGTTTGATGCCAGTCAGTCTATGAGGTTTCATTGACTTTTCTGTAGTGGCTGGGTACAATTGAGTGCCTTGCTAAGTCATTTCAGAGGGCAGTTAAGAGTTAACCAGATTGCTGTGGGTCTGGAGATATGTGTTGTTGCAAAGTTGGGTACAGTACTCGTGGATTGGAAGGCAGGACATCAGAATTTGGTGTCTGTAAAATGTTGGTGATTGTAAAATGCTATGGGAAAAGCAGTGCATGGTCCTTTTAAAAGATGATGTGCATTTTCTATGCTTAGAGATTCAAAAAGGATGTCTGTGGGTTTGCAGGTACACAGAGCACCCGAACTGAAACACTTGTATCAAAAGGCTATACTGTTAGCAGGCAAAGCAGCACTTTTACCAAAACAATGGGTTTTCAAATTTAGCCAATTAATTTAAACCAGGCCCTTAGGTAAAAAAATAAATTTACCTCTGATGGTTTTGACAAGATAGGACCAACGCTATTATAAGAAATTGATGTGTCATCAAGGGTATAAAACATGAGGGCATTTGGAAAATTGAGAGAGAGCCATTTGTCATTTGCCAAGAAAACAGCTCTCATCTCTAAAAGAAAGACTTGGTGGGTCTCACAGCATTCTCTAAGCCTTAGAGTAAGCTCCATCTATATTACAGCACAAATAGTTAATGTTCCTGACAAACGAATTCGGCGGACAAGACATTACTGACAGACAAATTCATCGGAAAAGACACAGAACATTCCGGAAGACGTAACCTGGCTGTAATTTTGAGAGATTTAATTCTAATTTTTAAAAAATTTTCTTTTGTATAAATGGCACTGGTATTTATTGGAACAGCATACCATTATAACCTTGCTTTATTTGAGAAGAGTTAGTAGTTAGAAAGGGTTTATTCTTTTTGTTAATAATTTACTTAGTTTGTTGACTGTTAGAGTTAGATAAATACATTGTTACTTGTTAATAATAGAGTATCAGGGGTTTATTAATTATTTAATCACTCCTTTATAACAGATTGGGGGCTCTTTTAACAGATTATAGGGTGAGGTGCTTCTCTCTGGGTGTTTTGGTTTTACTTATTGGGGGGGTTGACGTCTGCTTTATGACATGTGTAGGTCAGATTAAGTAAGGATGGCAGATGTCCTTCCCTTAAGGAAAAAAAAGATAAACTTTTCACATTAACCATTACTGATGATTTCTAAATTTTATTAATTAATTGAATCTAAATTCCACCAGCTATTGTCATGGGAACTGAACCTGTGTCCCCAGTGCATTGGATTATCAATTGACACTACCAGTGTCTGCCCTAACACAATAAAAAGATTAATTTTGTTGCAGCTCCTTTAATGATCTTGTGACATCCAAAACACTTCACAGTGATGTTTCACAAACAGATATGTGATGGTGACCAGATCATCTGCTTTCAGTGATGTTGATCTTTCTCTCTTCCAGATATTTGTGATGATCTTTGCAATCTGGCTGTACCAACGAGCTTAAGAGAGCTCTCCCTGACCAAGGCTGTGTTAATGTTTAATGTTGACAGAGGCAGACAGGCACCTAGTGGCAACAATAGGAACTGCATCACTTTGCGGAGCACTTCAATGTAATGGACACTTCAAACATTTTAACCGTCAGACTATGAGCTGAAAGTATGACCTGTGATAGAAGACTGGACTGAGAATTTGACCTGAGGTTGTAAACACAGGTGGAACCAATACAGTGGGGAAGAGGGGTAGATCAGTTTGAATTTGTAAATGAATGAACGTACATACAATAGGCTATACAAATGTACAAGAGATAAACAATAGATCTTACCTCCAGAATCAATTTCTGATATTGTTGACATTCTTTAACTGATACAGCAAGTTTGTTGCTGTGTGGAGCAATATGAATAATTTATAATTTGAACTATTTATATCAAATAATGTTCTGGCTGATGGCTGCTGATGTTAGGGACCACGGCACAGGGGTTAGAGGTTCGCTGGGGTAAGGGCTGGTGCTGTTGGATATGGGTGAGAATGTGTGCTGTAGGCTGGGTGATATAGGATGGGTGTTGTAGGCTAGGCAACATAGGGTGGGTGATATAGGATGGGTGTTGTAGGCTAGGCAATATAGGGTGGGTGATATAGGATGGGTGTCATAGGCTAGGCAATATAGGATGGGTGATATAGGGTAGGTGTTGCAGGGTGGGTGATATAGGGTGGATGTTGTAGGCTGGATGATATAGGCTAGGTGATGCAGGTTGGGTGTTGTAGGCTGGGTGATATCGGGTGGGCGATATAGGATGGGTGCCGTAAGGTGGGTGCTGGTGGGTGATATAGGGTAGGTGCTGTGGGGTGGACGCTGTATGGTGGTTGATATAAAGTTGGTGTCTTAATGTGGGCATTGTGGAGGGGATGATATAGGGTAGGTGATATAGGATGGGTTATATAGGGTGGCTGATATAGGGTGGGTGATTTAGGGTGGACAATGTAGGGTGGGCAATATAGAGTGGGTGATATAAGATGGGTGATATAGGCTAGCTGCTGTAGGGTGGGTGATATAGGGCAGGTAATATAGGGTGGGCACTGTAGGGTTGGTGCTATAGGATGGGTAATATAGGATGGCTGATGTAGTTGGTGATGTGGGGGCTGATATAGGGTAGATGCTGTGGGGTGGATGTTGTAGGCTGGGTGATGCGGGGTACTGCTGTAGGGTGGGTGATATAGAGTGAGTGATATAGGGTGGGTGTTGTAGGGTGAGTGCTGTAGGCTGGGGATGTGGGGAAGTGCTGTAGGTTAGGTGATATAGGGTGGGTGATATAGAGTGTGCGCTGTTTGTTGACTGAGTAAGACATTACCATCAGCTCAGTCACTAGAGGCTGAAGCAACCAATCAGTTTCCAGTTCTGACACCCCTCGTCTTGTGGTGAGTGGGAGACGGGAGAGGTAGGGGAGGGAGGATGTTGGTGGGGAGAGGGGACGAATAGGGATGAGAGGAGGTGGGACGCTATCTGACATGTAGATATAATCCCAATAAGACCTGACCCAAAGAGTTTAATTGTGGAAAGTGTATCTCCTGGCTGGGGCTGTGGTTCTAGGTAAAGTACAGTCTCATCTGTCAAAAATTGTGAGTTGTCTTCTTGATTAACGTCCATTCCAAATGATCTCCTATCCTCAAGCTGTTCTTTTCTAAAAGTGAAGTGTGTATCTCAATCTATAAAAACAGTGTTTCGTAGTGATAGGAATGTGGAGGTCAAACTTCCTGGACCTGCTCTTTGTATTGAAAAGTGAAACAGTGGAGTTAATTCTTAATATTCATGTTGTTTGATTGCCTTGTGAAACGTTTACAATAAAATGACGTACAGAAGTGCAGTGTGTTCTGTTCACTGGAGGCAGTCAGTTTAGCTCCCACCTCAGGAAGGAAGGGGAAGCTAGCTATCCACCTCTGGACCACCACATGCCTGTTAATGCCCCACTGCCTGGCCCTTACCTGGTGTTTGAACCACTGTCAAACACCAGGGTCCTTCTTTCCTGTGTAACTCAGTTTGGGCAATCGTCTGATCTGGAATTATTGTTTTGAAAAGTTGGACTCTGTTTCGACAGCTCAACAATGAAGTTTAAAACATTTAGCAAAGACATGTTGAACCATTCTACCCTCAGTATAACTGTACCACTGGACAACTCCATCAGTGAACGCCGCAGTATCAAACACTTCCCATTAACCCCACCTTCTTCAGCTACTTCATCATTATCTTCCCCGTATCCTAGAAATTCTGTCTATGTCGCTTCATAAATGAACTTTGTACAAGGAAATAGGTTCATAATTCCTAGCATGCTACCTTATTAATAATTTCTCTTTCATTAAACACTTTGGAACACAAAACAGTTGCCATCAATAACTGATCTGCTGTTTAAATGTTAATTTGTTTATTTGTGTTGATGTAGGAGTGAGGAACACTTCTCCTTTAGAGGCAGAACCTCAATAACCCTTTGTAGCCTGACTCACAGTGACAGTATTGAAGGAAGAATTCTATTCGGTATTTTAACCCACAGGCCCCATTTTGGTATGTCCCAAGGGAACACAGTTCACTGCACCATTCTCACTGTTTTAAAACCCATTTCCTTTACTAATACAGTCTTTCTGAAGTCTGCAGAGATAACCTCAAATTAAATGATGTTCAAGGTGAGGGTGACAATGATAAAACTTCACATGAGGTTTGAAGGTGAGAAATGTGAAACTCCGGTCTCAAACAAAATAAAAACAATTGGAAAAGTATGAAGACATAGTGGCTGAAATATCCAAAGAAAAGCTGCACTTTGCTTTAAAGATTAACGGTAGATCGGAAGATTGGGAAAATGTTAGAAACCAGCAAAAAAAAGGCTTAAGAAAATGATAAACAGGGGAATGACAGAAAACTAATAGAAATATAAAAAAGATAGTCAAAATTTTTTACAAGTATATAACAAAGAAGAATGGCTAAATTACTGCCTTAGAGATGAGTACAGGGAAAAATAATGGGTGCTGTGAAGATACTAAGGCTTTAAGAGGTGTATTTGGTCCTTTGTTTTGTGAAGTCATATTGCGACATTGGTGGTGAGAAGTCAGCTTCAAAGCCCATAAAGTAAACAACTTGTGAGGCCTTGTTTATTTTTTAAAGCTGGAACAATAGAAGCAGCCTGAATGGGTGGCATCGAGTTCCCACAGAACCAGGACTTTTTACTTTAGTTTTTCAGTAGCAGTTGCTGGGGTCTTGAAGCTAGGTTTGGAAGCTACAGTACATCTCTTCCCACTACTCTCTCTCAGAGTTTTCTCTTGATGTTTTTCCTCCTGGACTGGAGAAATGCATGTGAGACAATCTATTTTACTGAATTTGCTTTTGCCCAGTGTATAGGATGGGCTGAAGGGCTAAAATTGTTGATGATATTTGACAGTTGCATGACCTTGAATGAGTCCTGTGAACATTCCTGTACGTGCCAAAGCTGGCACAAGTAATGTGTTTTTCTGTAGTTGTATTTTCTGTGCCTGGCTGTTTGTTACACCGCATAAGAGAGAGAGTTTTGTTCTGGGAATTGGACTTCACCTTGGACCAGGATCGTGAACAATGCCAGGAACAACCTCAGCCTCCAGATCAACCATTGATCGAGAGGTCCCCGATGGGCAGAAGGGCGTGAGGCTTATTGATTTTTTTCATCTCTGTTGCATTCTTTTTATTTACTTAATAAATGTTCTTTCCTTTTTCATCTTTTATTATTACTCAATAAAAGTTAATATTTAAGAAAATTGCTATTGTTGAGTCTTCTCTTAACTACATTTAACCGAATCTGAAAAGAACCGCTTGGATACACTCTGTGATCGAAAACACTAAGGGTGTGTTTATGGGATGTTACTATATTGGAACAGTCTCTGTTTAATAGTGAAATAATCTATTATTCTGTTTTCCAATGGAGTTAAATTATCCCAATCTTTCACTTGTTATATTTTAACTATAGTGTATGAATACAGTGTGTTTTGCTTTGAGACTGGCAGTTTGACCAAACAAATTTCATCCAGAATGCAACGCCTGGCACTGGCCTTTAAAATAAGAAAGAAATAAGGTCTAGGCTATCTTCTTAATATATTTTGAGGGGTTTGGTCTGGTCCATAATGGTGCAAAATAAATGGCAGAGGCTTTGAACAAGTTTTTTTTTATCTGTTATCACAATGGAAGGATCAGAATTAATTCTGAGATTAATAGAAAATCCAGGGGCTAAGGGAAAACTAATGGCACTGAAGTCTGACAGGTCTCCTGGAGGAAGTGGCATGCATCCTACAAACAGAAAGGAAGTGATAGGAAATTTGGTCGATACTTTATTGCAATCTTTCAAAATTCCCTAGGTTCTGGTAATGCCCAATTGGACTGGAAAATTCAGAAAGGCTTGGGAGCACTTAACTTGCAGACAGAAGAGAGAGAGGGAGAGGAGTCTAACAGCTGCAGTTTTGGAAGGAAAAATGCAGTGATGTCGCCGGAAGGTGTCGATTGGTTGGAGAGTAACTTTTTTCGGAATTTATGAAATAAGTTCATTCATGTGGTGTGAGTGCCACTGGCACTTTTTACCTGCTCCTAGTTGCCCTTGAGAAGGCAGTCGTAAGCTGTCTTCTTGAATTGCTTGCAGTCCAAGTCAGTGTGGGTTGACCCACAATGCCATTAGAGAGGGAATTCCAGGATTTTGACCCAGCGACAGTGAAGGAACAGCAATGTATTTGCAAGTCAGGATGGTGAGTGGCTTGGAGCATAACTTGCTAATGGTGGTGTTCCCATGTATCTGCTGCCCTCGTCCTTCTAGATGGAAGTGTCCTGGGTTTGGAAGATGCTGTGGAAGGAGTCTTGGTGAAATACTGCAGTGAAGCTTGTAGATATTTGAATCTTGTTGCTATTGAACATTGGTGGTGGATATTTGTAGATGTAGCGCCAATCAAGCAGGCTCCTTTGTCTTGGATGGTGTCAAGCTTCTTGAGCGTTGTTGGAGCTGCACTCATCCAGGCAAGTGGGGAGTATTCCATCACACTCCTGACTTGTGCCTTGTAGATGATGAGCAGGCTTTGGGGATTCAGGAGGTGAGTTACTCTCCACAGTATTCCCAGCCTCTGACCTGCTCTTGTAGCCACTATGTTATTGTGGCAAGTACAATTGAGTTTCTGGTCAATGGTAATCCCAGGATGTCGATAGAAAGGTATTCTAGGAATGATATTGCCATTGGTTTCAAGAGACAATGATTAAGTTCTCTCCTGTTGGAGTTGGTCTTTGCCTGGCTTTTGTGTGGTGCGAACATTGCTTGCCACTCGTCAGCCCAAGCCTGGATATTGTTCAGACCTTATTGTTTTTGAACTTGGACTGCTTCAGTACCTGAGAAGTCACAAATAGTGCTGAACGTTGTGTAATCATCAGTGAATATCCTGATTTTTGACCTGATGATGGGTGGAAGGTCATTGGTGAAGCGGCTGAGGATCATTGGGCCAAGGACACTACCCTGAGGAACTCCTGCCGAGATGTCCTGGAGCTGAGATGACTGATCTCGAACAACCACGATGTTGTTCCAATGTGTCAGGTATGACTCCAACCACTGGAGAGTATTCCCCTGATACCCATTGCTTCCAGTTTTGTTAGGACTCTTCGATGCCACGTGTGAATGCGGTCTTGATGTCAAGGGCTGTCACTCTCACTCTCACCTCTGGAATTCAGCTCTTTTGTCCATGTTTGAATCAAGGCTGTAATGAGGGCTGCTTGTATAATTTCCAATGTTTGAAAATACTTTTTTTAAGCTTCTAAGTTCCTGTAATTGCTGGTAATTGCAAGTTTTTAATTGTATTGGCAAAGCTTATTTGCAGTATTAAATATTTTGGGTGCTGCAGGGTTCAGTACATAAAAAAATGAATTCATACTTAATAAAGACGGCAGGGTGGGTGATTTGCTGCAACTGCAGTAAGTGGCATCTTCTGGACTCTGGCACATCGATCTAAAGTAAATGTTTGTGGGTACAGGAACTTTGGTTCAGGGTCAGTGGACTGGAGGTTAAGGTGCAGCCATTGTAACATATTAGGGAGGAGGAAAGTTTCCCTGGACAATTTATTCGAGGAGGCAACCATACTCCTTAGCACAGGATTGTCTGATTTGACCACTGCTCAATGACAGGAGGCTAGTACAGTGACATAGTGGGCAGAAATCTCAGTCTTTGTAATTATCAAACAGGTTTGAGGTACTTATGATTTTTTTTGGATAGGAATGTGGACTACAGGGTGGATGATCTTGTTGATCATTGCACAATAGTACAGGACACCATTCAACTCACAGGCACGAAGTAGTGGCATTAGAGGACAGCATAGCGAGCAGGATTGATGCTGTCTTCTTTAGCAAGCAGCAAGAGTCCAGAAAGACATGTTACCCAACCAGTGGCAAGGTC